GTTCATGCCCTTGGGTCCACCGTGGGCACCAGTATGGCACCTCGCCCGGCAGGACCGCCTCCACCACATCCGAGTCTGGACGGTGCCACCAACCATCCTGCCACTCCTTTTGCGACGCCAGCTCAACACTTGGCGGCCATCAATGCTGCTACCACTGCCACAGGGCAAATTCCGGGCTGGACCATTACCATCACCATCCAGCCTCACATGCCCCAAGGCACAGGGAGGTAGATTGCATCTCCGGAGCAGAGACGGCAAAAGCCTGCCGACCTCTACCTCTGGCACAAGCCTTGGACGATGGACTCTTCCGATTCGTCAGCAGAAAAATGCCGCTCTCACCCAGGGCACAAACTGTTGTCAGCCGTGCATGGCTCGGAGTGATTTCATGCCAGCTGAAAGTGTCCCTGCCCAGGTCAGGGTCATGGTCCTGTCCATCGATGCTCTTGCAGGACATCTATCGTGGACCCCCATTCAACTAATGGGATCGCATAGGCCAGTTTGGTGTCACGACAGGAGTGAGGCCTCGACCATTAGACAGCATCCACGGCGAGACGCCCCCACCGTCGCTGCCTCAGCTCTGCGTTCTCCAGTGCCTAGTCCTGCCCTTGAAAGCAGAGTCTGGATCAGCCATGCTCAGCCTTGCACTGCACATCAGTGTTCGGAGCCTCCATCCGTCGCTGCAGCTGTCTCCAGGAGCACTCCTGCAGCTAGTCTTTTGGAGCCTCCACCAGGCTCATGGATTGAGGGGGCCAGCTCTGCGCAGCCCTCCTCCAGAGCCTCTTTTGGCATGGGTAAGAAAAAGAAGTCTCCATGGGTCCCTCCGGCACCCCTTGACCCAGCGATCATTGTGGCGGACGATGCGTTAGTGGCTGGTGCGGACATCATAGTGACTGGGGGTGCACACAAGCGGATTCATGGACTATGGGGATACATTTTGCGGACGACTGAACCGGACAGCCACACGTGTAACATAAGGGTATATGAAGGCGAGGCCAGCCTACAGCGCAAGACCTGGTGCATAGACGATGCCCACATCCAGGCTTGTGGTCCCAAACCACCTCCTGCAGACGACGGCTTGCATCCTCCTTTGCGATGGAGGCTTCGGCCTCCACCTTTGACCCTCTATTCGGCAAGGTTTATCCTCGGATGGCAGAGCCTCTCTTCCATGGTTCCCCCGAAACCTGCAAAGAAGCTGGACATCTCCAAGACCCAGACTGGTGGACAAGTGCAGCAGGTGCGACTTTGGAAGGGAGTGCGTAAGGTGAGCAGCGAAGGTGCCCTGGTTCCTCAGCCGAAGCAAGCTGCTCTTCGTCCTCCACCACTTCCTCGCATCCAGCAGGAATTTCTTGCAAGGCAGACAGCGAAGCCCAGCCGACAGCCGAGGGAACCGGACACACCTCCTCCAGGCTGGGTGGCGGACCAAAGAAGGATGCAGCCTCCACAGGAGGACAGGTAGGCGCCTCAAGCCAAAGACGTGGGTCGCAGCAAACGAAGGAGGCGATCGCCCTCATCTGAATGGCTCCCCTCTACAGGCTCCTGCACCATTCAGGTCGGCACGGTCACCATACAGACCAACGACAAAACCTACCAGCCAAAGAAAAAGCATCGACGATCAACCTCTGGGCAGGAGGAGCCAGATCTGGTTGAGGTCATCGTGGAGGAGCCACCGACTGCCTCTTCGAGCACTCCCCCACGACTTCCCATGGCTAAGCCGAAGCCAAAGAAGCGACCTGTACCGGCTGAGGACAAAACAGCACCGCTGCCTACCCCGCAAATGGGCCCTCAAGAACAGGACAGCACACCGGCGGATGCTCAGGCAGGAGACGGCTCCTCATCTCCTACCCACGACCGGGCTCCCTACAACCTGGTGGATGCTAGACCTACTGAGACTCAAGGAGCGACCCGGGCAGTGCAGACTGAGAACAATCCGGAGGACGAGGCTCGAACTGTGTGTTTTGTGGAAGGGGGCGGAGAACGAAGCAGACTGCCACAGGACACCGTAAACCAGATGCCCCTGTTCGGCCCAGACCACAACTAGCACCGGATATCATTGTGGGGCCACGCCGACCTAAGTCCATATGGTTTGATCCGGAAGAGCCATCGCCGACCACCAAGACAGCCAGCAAGGTTACTGGTACAGGACCGCGGCCACGAAAACGGGCCAGCAGGAAGCAAATGTATAAGACGGTTCTGCTCATCAGTGCAGCAAATCGGGCTGCTGATGCTCAGCAAAATGCTGAATCCTTGCCTGTGCGACCTCGACCTCGGCGATCATACAAGAGGGATTGTGCTCGCAGTTGTGCGGACCCCTCCCTCCTGCCAGTCAGCCTGTGTAAGCTCTCCCTTCACTGGCCCAGGTCATCTCGGCCTGAGCTCACAGAGACTGCAGATCCTGCAGGCCTCTGTGCTCCACCTACTCAGATCCAAACAGCTGCAATGCACTGGCTTCTGATCAGGTCCTCAGCCAGGAAGCAAGGGCCACCAAGCCTCAGCTGTGCTGCCCTTGATACGCCAGACATCGCCGAAACTCCCTGCTACTCACGAGACAGGCCATGGAAGCTGTGCACTGATGACCCCAAGCAGCAGGCACACATTCTGGCTGGTAGTGTCCCAACTCAGGTCTGAAACCACCGCCGAGAACTGCCACATCCATCCCTGTGTGGAGCTGTGCTACCAAGCAGCCCGAGAATTCTCCTGCTTCAGCTGCTCTCCTAGGTCTGCCGAAAACACTGGCAACAGGCAAGGTTTCATGGCAGTGTGCAAGCATCACTCCCCAATGCCATTCTTCTGTCACGCCACAGGGATGGGTCGACTGCTACCAGGACCCCTCTATCTGCGCTATCTGTTACCAGTGCGAGACTGAGAAGCCCCCTCCCAGCCAGGGGTGGACTCAAGCAACACTGTCTGCTGAAGGCTGCCTCGACCACCCTCCACCGAGACGTGGATCCGAGTCTGCCCAGGACGTCGCTGGTCACTATCGTGCAAGGGCGGGGTCTGGAACACCAGGAGATGGCGACACTGGACTCCAAGCTTCGAAGCCACAGCCAAGTGAGAAGCACTCCGTCGGGATTCCCAAGCTACCTCCCACAGACCTACAGTCATACATGCACACCCTGGCATTTGCTCCGACTGCTGCAGGTCTGCCTTCGACACTGGCACCAGGCCGAGGAGGCAGGAGGACAACAGTCATTCCTGAGCCCTTGTGTGAGCGTATATTTCTCCCATCGGACAGACTGGAGACACAGTGGTCCTCGCATACTATTTGGGCAACCCACGGTGCGAGGGCTGCAGGCGACACTACGATCAGCATACACCCTCTCAGTCCAGGCCCAGAACAAATTCAGATAGGCGAGCCGGCTTTAGAAACAAGATGCCCCCACAAGTGTACCCGGTGGCACAGCTGGATCTTAACAGCATGGATTGAGAGGAGAGCGGCATATGCCGAGCAAACTGATTTTCCTCCCTCCAAATTTTGCTATTGTGGTCTGTCGGGAGTTCACTCTGCAACATTGACCAGGATATACCCTCAGAGAAGTCATTCCTCATCCACCAAACAGAGCCACCCCGGTCCCAAAGCCGGGGGTCGACCCTATTCGAACGTCCGTTTCAGGATTCCTGACCAGTCGACTGGGGTGAGGGTTACAAGTGACTGCCAATCACTTGTGGAACCGAAGGTTCCGTTAGGATCCGACGGGAAGCCAAGGCAGGAGCAAAAGCAACGACACGCTCCGATGGAGACGGCCCCTGGAGGCTCTCCACTTTGCAGACCCCTCCCTGGTCTGCTATGTTCACTCGTTTGTACTGCACCAGACTCCCGCGTCTGGCCTAGATTCCAGATTCAATCACCTGCTAAGGAAACAGAGCCACACCGTTCCAGCTCCCCTGAACTGCCTGCAAGGACTGGCCACATCTACCATGATGATCACAGGAGAGTGTGGTACTATGTTCACCATTGCCGACATGTGCCCCTTCGTGTCATGACCGTTGTGGCTCCAGCACTCTTCCATCTTACCCCCTCCATATCTTCCAGAAGCAGGCCCTCCTCAGCCTGCCGAGGGGGTCACTTGCACTCTCAGCCATTACGTGCCACCCCTGCTCAGGATGGCCCTGCCCCAGCTCGTTTGCCCTCAAGCAGACTCAGCTGCCTTAGGCCCAAGGGCATGCTCTGCAGTCTGCTTCTGGCCGGGCTCCTCCCACTTACAGGAGGTACTGGAATGTCACTGCCAGCCCCCTCAGGGACAGCCCACTGTGCTAGTCTGTCAGCATTACCTGCCAGCTCTGTGCCGGCTCAGGGATACAGCTATGCCCGGAAGCGGGCCTACAAGCGGGCCATCAGGCGAGCCTCTCAGCATCCCGATCAGCACACCTTCTATAGAGGCCGCCCCTGTACGCTGCGACAACTATGCAGGAATTATCAAGGGCAGGGACCAAGGCCTACAACACGGGCGAGACTGCAGGTGCATGCCCTAGAGCGAAGTCGGGACAGAATCCTTGTCCTGACCTGGAATGCGGGAGGCCTCTCCACCACGATGTGGCAGGAACTGCTACTTACCTTGGAAAACCTTCGACCGGAGGCCAGACCTCAAATTGTGTGCATCCAAGAGTCACATTGGGGCGACAAGGTTGCCCCCTCATTCATCACCGCCCAATGGTCTGTCTACACGTCGCCCAGCACGGACAACAAGGCGGCAGGGCTTGTGGTTCTGGTAGATCGTAAATCTCTCCCACATGGTGAGGTCCTCACTGCTGATCCCAAGCCGGGACGCGTACAACACATTCGCCTTGCCACGTCCTCATGGACACTTGATCTGCTCCATGTATATCAGAAACCGTATAACTTCCATCCGAAGGCCTCCCAGGATGCCAAAGCTGTTCGTGCTGCAGTCTGGCAGGAACTGGAGACTCGCGAGTTCCCAAAAGACACACACTGCTCATACTGGGAGATAATCAACATGTCCCTCAAATTGGCGATGTTCAAGCAGTTGTTGATGTCTTTGCAGGAGCGGTTGACCGAGACGGCCAAAGACAGCAAAGCCATGGATCACGCCAAAAGCCGGGGCTGGTTAGACCAGGACCAGCACTGGCGGGTCCTACGCTGGAACTCACTCCAGCAGCATCTCGAGGTCGACGAGAGTCTCAAGCCTACCTCCACTTCCGATCTGATCGGCCAAATCATCCAAGTTCGGAAGGGTGTGACCGAGGACTCGCTGCTTCGCTTCAAGTCGCTTCGCAGGCTCAGCCCGGATGTGAAGGCCGATTGGATACAGTTTCAGCTTGTGATCAGCCTCCGCGCGGAAGCAGCTCCCCTGTGGGCAACACTGAAATCGTGGATCGGCCAGTCCTCATGGCACACTCTCGGGTGTCGGCTACGGAGGGAGCGGCCTCAATACGACTCCCTCACAGCGGATCTCTGGAACTCCTAAAAGGTGTGCCCCCCAGCCTCAACTCCTTGCTTCAGGTTGCACTTCACAACACTTCCCAGTTGTTTTATCTCAACTCCACAGCCTATGCTATCGCATGGACGACACTGCAGGCTAAGCTACATGGAGCTGGAAGCATGGATCTGGTGCCGGCCCTCAGAATACTCTGCAAACTTCGATCATCCGCGTTGCCACTTAAGCTTCTTGCCCAGTTTCCATGGGCCACCCTCCTTCAAGGCTGGCCCCATATCCATCAGCAGCATGATGCACCAGAGCTGGTGACACATCTCATGCCGAGGCTTGGGATCACCCATGTCGCAGGACGATGGGAGGCCAGATGGAGAGTGAATCAGCAAGTGCAAGTTTTTGACCATGGCACTCTTCTGGCGCCTATTACTATGGCCCTGCCACCAGGGGAATCACTTCACCTACAGCAGGTGATTCAACAGTGGCACTCACAGGCACGTCTACATGCCCTTGCAATCGCCCCGGTCTTTCTGTGTGTACAGCTGAACAGGTTTACTGGGGATGATGGTGAGCTCAGCCGAGACACGAGGCCACTTCAGGGTATCGATTGCACCATCCGTATCCCTGTCTTCACCGCTACCGATACGTTGCAGATCCGACAAGTTCCCTTCCAGGTGACATCGGCTCAGCTGCACTTCGGGGAACGACCGACTTCTGGACACTATCGAGCCGTCCTAAAGGGTCAAAAAGCGTTTGGAGCTTCACAGACATGGATTACGGATGATAACCAAGTGCCTCAGAGTGCCTCCAACACTCATCCTGGTGCGATCTATCTGCTGGGTGTATGACTCTGAATCTGAGTGAGCGAATAGGAGTAGTGTTGAATATGGAAAGAGCAGGCCACAGCCCTCTTGATCCCAAGGAGGATCCGAGCCCCATCGAAAACCGATGGAGTTCGTCAGCTCGCTAGGCGAGGACGGTACTTCGCTGCGTGGGGAATGAATGCTACTGCGACTGCGACTGCGACTGCGACTGCGACTGCGACTGCGACTGCGACTGCGACTACGACTACGACGACGACCACGACTACTACTACTGCGGCTGCTACTACTACTACTACTACTACTCCTCCTCCTCCTCCTCCTCCTCCTCCTGCTCCTGCTGCTGCTGCTGCTGCTGCTGCTGCTGCTAGACCACGACTACGACTTCGACAATGACCGCAACAACGACGATAACCACAACCACTGCTACTGCTAGAGTACTGCTGCTGCTCCTGCTCCTGCTCCCGCTGCTCCAGCGCGTTTTGCTACTGCTACTCCGAGACAGTACAATCATTGCTGTTACCACATGTTACCACTGTATGCTACCACGGGTGTGAAATAAGGTTCCAGCATTGGTGCACAGCGTTATGTGGAGAGCGCGGTATCCACTCTTCTTGGATTTGGTGATGTAGTCCTCGTCAGGGTGCGACATTCACTCGACATGTCTTGGGGATGCTGGAGCACACAACGCTCCACGCCAGCAACCTCAACATGAACGCTTGAAATCGGATTTTCGGAATATCGAACTGTCTTGAGGTCGTCTATCCTTCGTCGATCCAGGCAGCACAGACCATCCTTTGGTCGTTTTGGCATAGCGCTGCAGCGCATCCAAAACCGCAAAGCATGCAGCTCGTTCTCGCCATTCTTCCGCCAGCCACTCCGGATTTTGAGGGACCTAAGATGCTGCCTCCATGACTTCGCACATGCTGCGCTAATCCGAGGCGCGCCTCTGCCAGCGGGTCGGGATCCACAACCACTTCCACAGCAAGCAAGTCCTGACGTAATCCGACGGACTTGTCTACACGACGAAATGTGCCCACAGCATGTATTGTAGTCGACAATGCTGGAGGAGGCTTCGTCCCACTCTGCCACTTGTCTGTCAGGCCTTGATGGCCTGAGCTTTCAGATCTTCTCGAGAAACCCCCCGTTGCCGGAGTAGCTTCTTCACAATGCTGTACACACTCTTCACGCGGCCTCGAACCTGCACTCCGAGCTCACTGTCAGGCTGTTTTTCGTCGCGGAGCGTTGCTTTGCACGTTGCTTTGCAGCTTGACCCGCCTGGCCTTGCATGTAGCGAGACCCCGCACGTCTGCATCTGCGTCCAAAGCTCTTCGAACTTCTCGGAGGCATCTCTGAAGTGTTCGATTCAAAAGCTCGTCTTCTTCTCGCATCCATGCCTCCGAGTTCAGGAGCTCACAATGGCTAGCGGCTAGCTTTTCGGCTGGAGCCAGTTCCGAAACGACGGGTGCAGGGGAGACCAAGCCTGCGGCCAATCCCGAAATGATATGCCGCATTGTGCGCCCTAAGAACGGCTTCAGAAAACCGAATGCCTGGCGCTGCTTGCGGAACACAAGCAACCGTGTGACCAGCACATCGCGGGATGCAGGACAGGAGCACAAAAGAAGCATGTCAACAGGAAAGTGCGAAGGTCTGAACCTGGACCCTGCCCTCGATCCATTCACAAAGCCAACTGCAAGAAGGGAGACAAGAGAGGAGAAAGGCTTGGCATTGTCATGTCTCTCCTGAAAACACCTTGGAGCTTACCCACATGGTGCGTTGAATTCGGAAGATTCCTCTGTCTTCTCCAAATGCATTTTCTTCGCGGCAAGGGCCGGATGGGGACCTGTGTTGGGAAGCCTCGTTCTGAGACATCAGGTGCCAAAATGCCATAGTAGATGATAGAAATCTGAAAATCTAATCGAGCGCTGAGATGCGACTGTTGAGTTTAGCGTGCTTGCTCGCCAGCTATCCCTCACCACATCGCAGGATATCTTAGGCATGGTAGGGCTCAAAAACATGAAAGCGAAGTAAGCCCTGGCAGGAGTAAGCTCTTCTGCTGTGTTCCTGCCTCGATCATGCTGTACTCTTCCGGGAAATAAAGCCGCAAGGCACGGTTTTCCAGCGATGGAGTGATCCGCTCGTTGACGCTGCCGTTGTGGGCCTGGGCGCGGGAGCGCAATCTGGGCACAGGGCATGGAGTCATGGAGGGATCAGATCCGAGTTGCCAAGGCGTCGAAGCCCAGGCCGTGGGCCAAGGGCACGTGCAAATCCAAAGCCTCAGAAGGCAGCGATGAGCCGCGCAGCGGCGGCGGCGGCGGCCGCGCTCCTTTTGGCTCCGAGAGGCGCAGCGAGCCAAGGCCCGGCCCTCGTCGGGAAGGCCGAATCTGCTGGCCACTGCGGCGGAGAGATTTCGCAGGATCTGCTCCACCTCCGAAAAGAGAGACGCGAGAGAGAGAAAGAGAGAGAGAGAGAGAGAGAGCGGCCGAGGTTTTTCCGCCTCTGCAATCTCAACCATTGCAGCTCGGAAGTCCTGTTTGGCAAAGCACAGAGTACAGGTGACTCACGACTTGGTCGGCTGCTCCCTCTGCCGTCCTTGGAGCAGCGCAAGTAGAGAAGGCGGGAGAGCTGCGACGCAGCAAGCTGCACCTGCACTTCATGGCAGAGTCGAACGCAAGGCCGGTCCCTGGCGTACCAAAAAAAGTGCCCCACGTTCAAACGATGCTATACTTGGACCCCGAATTGCATTCCCGCATTCAGCTGGCTAAGTTTATTCAGCAAGCCAGTGACCGGTAGTGGACTTTCCAGCACGGACCCGCCTGCCCGTGATGAGTTGTGCTGTCCTGCCATGAGCGCTACCACGTCATGGTTCGTCAGACTGTCGTTCTGTTCGAACTCTCGGTCTGCAGTCCTCTGAAAGCGCACGTAGATACAGAAGCAAGGCTAGCTGTTCCAACCTGTGGCATTTCAGGTCTTAATCAAAAGCGAATACATGGCTACACGTGCTGGCAAGTCTTGCTGCCTCTTTTTCTCATCGATCAGATTGACAACCTCTTCCCCGAGTTCAGGACAGGCAGCAAAAACCTGGCGCGAGGCTTGCGGAATCAGGCAACCAAGCCGCGAGATCAGTCTCAAGCATCGAATGCAGACCTTGGAGACTGCGGCCCATGGTTGTCCAAGGCATTCATCCAAATCGTGCAAAAGCAAAGCCTTGCAGTGACTGTTCGAGGCTGCAGAAAAGTGCTGCACGCTTCAATTCCGCTCGCCGGGCAGCCACGATGGCGCGGGAATCTGCACCCAAGCGCATCAAGCTTCGCAAGCTTGCCTCCTATTGTCAACATCCGATGTCGCACAAGACAATTTGAGCACTGCTCTTCCGCGCGACCCGTCCTTGAAACGCCAACGGTTTCCCGGCAGTGCTCTGGCCGCAATGTTCATCGCGATACTCAAAGCGCGATGATCCTCCGGAGACGTGAAGGCCTTGGGAATCCAGCTTTAGAATCGCTTAGCGCAGGAAACCCGGAGGTCGGTGCTTGGAGGACCATTTCGGCAGCGGCTTCAGCAGCCTCTGGCAAAGGTCTGCTCGGTGCCTGGATCACTCTCGTTCGGGCTTTCGGGCGATGTCCCTCATGTCTCCTTACACGTTGCAGAGGGCCTGGTTTAATTCCTCCAGCAGGTGCACAGCAAAGGCTGTCGGCCGAGCCGGATCTGACAAGTTCAGCATCCTTTGTCTGATGCGGACATCCATGGCCTGCCCAGGGTTTGAGTCGTAACCCTGCAGCTAAGCTCGAGCTGCGCAGATCTGATCAGACAGTGACAGTGATAGTGTCACTGATTCAGGCAGGCAGGGAGGCGTCATCTTGAGCAGCACTGGGGCTACATGGAACATGGGCATCATATCGTATGCTCATTATGTCGTTCCGCCACCAGGTCATGTTGCTCAGAATGCAGCCCCTCCCGACCGAAACTTCCAGACTGCAGACATGTTCCGACAGTTCCCTGAAAGAATTGCCCGCGCAGCCTCAAGCGCAATGGAGACTTCTGCGGCAGGACCAGTCGTCGATGCTTCGACGTCCCACGGTCCATCAAAGTCCCTGTGGTGGTTGAAATGTACCTTTGAATACCTCAGACTCTCAAAATCGCTGAGTTCGTCTGGAGCAGTGCCACTTTGTTAAGCGAACCTATGGCAAGCCTGGTGGCCCGTGAAGGGCTGCTGCTCGCTGTTCTTGTTCACGTTGCATCGCTGCCACCAGGCCCTCACTCAAACTGACCGGGGGAACGATTCGGCGCAAAATGCCAAGAGTTCTTCGCATCACCTCCATCGCACTGCAAAAGCAATCTGAAGATGCAAAGCGTCATGATACGCATCGGGAAGCAGTCGCAGAGGGTTAATTCACAGGCCTCCGCATCCAAAGTTCTGTCCGGAGCCGGGGAATCCATTGCTAAGGCGTGGAGAACTGCCCGCAAAGCGGGACGTTTCACCTCTTTGACCGGCCTCAGCGCACACGTGTTAGACAAACGCGGCATCCATCCGTCGCCCGTGCCTCGACGAGAGCCGAAGTGTAAAGACAAAGTAGATGCCGATGAAGGCAAGAAGGAGAAAGGCGAAAATCAGGACGATGACCACAAGCCAAAGAGCTGGAGCAGCTGGAGAGTGCGACACGATGTCGACCTTTAATCAGGCTCGCTAAGGCTCGTTTCGAAGGTGTGGCAAGGCTTTCTTTTCGGTGAAAGCATAAGTTGCCTTGTCTTGAGCGCTCTCCAAGCCGTCCTCAATTAGCATCATCCGGTCGTTGATCCGCCTCAGCCCATGATCATTGCTTGCAAGATCAAGAGACTCTGGCTGAGCCGATGACTCAACAAGGGGCTTCCATTGCTCCTCAACGTGTTGGCAGGCACTCGTGGCGGCCATGCCAAAGGCTCCAGGTCCACGCCTGTAGCTCGTCAGATACCTCCAGAACATTCCGCCTGCTTTAACCCGGAATCCGATTCGGAATCAGGCGACTGTAAGCATGCCGTCCTCTTCAAGCCCAACCTGGCCTCAGGCCCGAGATGGCACCGCCCAAGGCATCACCACCAGCGTGAGTCCTGTAGCTGCGCGGCGACAAGGTACAAAATATGGCATGGCTGCGTGCACCTCACGAGGCGGCGAGCCACCGTGACAGTCGGCATTACTCGAAGTCCATATCCGCCTTGGCAACTCAGACATGCAATGCACCGATGCAATACACGGGGGTTCTTGCTGGGCTGTCTTTCTTGCGGCATCATGCTGTGCATCTCGCCCTTGCGAGAAAGCCGTATTCCCAGCCTGTCCCCCACCACGGTCTCCATGTGAAATGGCAAACAAAACTGCTCTTCATGCTGCATGCGATGGAGCAGTGTGCGACTGCTTTTGGCATGTTGGCATGTAGGCTTTAGGAACTGGCGTGTACCTCCAGTATCACTGTGGTTCTTCTTCCACGTGGAGCTGCAGCATTGAAATCTCTGTGAAGCCAGCGTGTAGTACAGGGATGAATGCTTCAAATGGCTGAAATAAACTTAGTGCAGTTGCCGGCCTTGGCACAGGGCCGCATTGATGTGCAATGCAGACCCCAGCGCCACTGCGGTAGCCAAGGCGATCACCAAGCCTCAAGCACACAAACCCCATACAGGGCACAACAGTCCTCTGTCTACTCATGTAGCCTCCTGTCTAGACACAAGTGTCAGTCCGTGCTGAGGCTATGGTCTTGGGGCCAGCATCGCAGCGTTCGGGGTGGTAATTGGGACGAAAGCGCTGCAACAGTAAAAGGCACGGGGGCACAGCCGAGCGCCTCGGACTAGCAAACAAAACGGAAGCCGCTTAGTTGACTGAGCAAGGCTTCCAGCTTTCGGTGTCACGACCCGACGTTTGCATGGAAGCACCCGCATGAGCATCAGAAGTCCGAAACGTGACCTCCACCATCACGCCTAGCAAAGCCCAGCCGCAAACTTCACATGGGGTTTCAGCCAGCTCATCCAGACAATGGCTTGCATTTGGATTTGGGGGGGGGGGGGGGTCGATGGCCCGGCGTTTCGTTTTTGACAACCTATAGCCGATAGCCTACAACTCCGTAACTTACGGCCAAAATGCGTGGCGTCTCTTGTATGCTCGCACTCCAGAAACAACAGAACCCCGATTTCTCAGGTCCCAGCTGGAATTGCTGCAGGGCCTGTACCACCTGGATCGCTTCGGCCGGAACATGGCAACACAGCCGCCAGGGTCACATGGCCAAAGTTCAATTCCAGGTCCTAGTGTTGTGCCACTCTTGCTCTTGGAAATTGTGACAGACTCTCTGTTGCATGCAGCGTTGATGATGTCTGCAGCTTGCTTGGTCTGCCTTGTATCATGTTGAATCCAGCAACAATATGGTTGCTTCGCTTTGGTCGCAAAGGGCAGGGGCTGGGGGCGTTTACTTCGGCTTGCAGTGGAAGCTTCCATGAACAATTCCGGATACTTCCGGAAGGCTGCTGGAATGTATCCGGACTGGGATGGAATGGGGTAGTGGTGGGCGGGCTGGGGTTGAGCACGGAGAGGATCAAGCTAGGAAAGCCTAAACCAAAACGTCTTCCGCGACGATTCAGGAAAGCGAATGCGGCAATTGCAGTGAACAAAAGTTCAACTGTCACTAGATGGCTTGGACAGGAGCGTGGCCCTTCTCAGAGCTGCAGTAAGACCGTTTCATCTACAGACCAAGACCTGCAATCTTGTAGGTCCGAGTCTTCCATGTGTTGGATCATTCGTGCAACATATGGGGCATGGGGCAAGCTACCATGAGCAACTTCTTTATCCGGAGCAGATGTGCATGCAGGACAAAGGTTGCTGGAGTCGATGTCATCTTTGTGGGCTATGTTCGGCATGGAAGTTGCTCTACGTTCACATTAGGGAGGGCCGGACAAGCAGCTAATCCGGAACCGAGTCGGCTTCTGCAAGATACGAAGGCACAGCCATGGGTAATTGTTTTGTTGGCGTCAGAAAGCTACCAATGCGCCTGTGCAGTTTTGCACAGATGCGCCGGTTCTCAGAGGTCACCTCTGTGGTCTTACAGATTCACAGGCCACTGCCAAGCAAAATCAAAATAAGTCAAAGAAGAACAGGCAAGAGCAGAGGCATATAGAGGCATCATGAAGCAGAAACCAACAGAAATTGGAATTGCAATCGATTTGCGTTAGTATGCCGACTGTCTGCACTCGCCTTTCTGATTTTGTACAGTCTGCTCTGGTGCAGCAACTAAACTTCAGTTCTTTGTACATTCACTAAGACATACTATGACAAATCATGGCAAGTGAAGTCCACTTCCACTCTGCGTCAAACGATTCGACAGTCAAGGTGAACGCCTTGTCATCGCCCCTGTGCCTCAGAAATGACGCAAGCAGTGTCGCGACTGCTTGTAGTGACTTCTGACATGAACCCTGCGGCTAAGACATCCACGGCTTGCTTGCGAAATTTCTTCTTGAGTGCCTGTGCAGGCGGGAAGGTCGCATCTCATTACTTGTGATGCGCTGGAACACAGCAGTCATCAGAAACACTTGAGCAGGATTGCAGAATTAAGCTTTCAACCCAGAGTTCATGATCGCCGATGTCATTTGGGGAGTCTGTGTTACATGAATACCACGACCAGGACCGCAACACGCTCCGAGCGTGTTTGCACATCAGAACAATGTCCACGCCCACCTTTGGCACTTTGTCCTTTCGCTTCTCCCGCTTTTCCTCCTTCACCTGCAGCTTCAAGATGCTTCAACAGTAGTTAAGCTCAAGCTGATGCCACGCACCAGGCCTTCCGTTTCCACTCTGCCTGCAGTTCGAAGTGCATCACGTCAATACCACGTCACTGCCCTTTCTGGCCTGGCCTTGTCCATTCCATCCGGTCTGTGCCTCGACTTCTTGCAGCAACAGCCCTGCACCCATGGCGGCTGTCCCATGCTGCCACACTACCGGGGCCCTGACCCATCATTCTTGGCTCCTTCCTCCAGTTCCGAGCCAGAGGCAGCCTCGTCAGGGTCCTCAGGCTCGTCGTCGCTTTCGCTGTTGTTCGCAATCTGCTTCGCTTCGCCCGGTGCTGGCTCATCCTGGCGCGGCCCCGCACCGGTGTGCGGAGGTTTGAACACGTCGAGATGATCTGATCTTCAATCCAGGTCCTCGACACTCGGTTCGTCAGATGCTAGAAGTCGTTCGTAAAGAACCTGGGGTGAAGTTTTGGGTGAATCTGCGACTGTGCAACATGGAGCACGCAAAGGGCAAAGGACTCGGGGTCCAGAGCCCGTGCCTCCTCCCCGCGCTGCCTCTTCTCAAGCTCCCGATCCAAGAACCGTTGGTCAGAAACCTGCTGAATTTTGCGCCGCTGGCTGTTGCCCTCTACCTAATCTACCTCTCCTCCCATCTGAATCGACACGCCTGATTCAAATTGCTTGGGATCCAGGTCTGGATAAACACCTACAGTGTACTCAGCCAGCGAGACCGAAACATGGATTTCATGCTAGCCGACTTGTGGACACCTCGTCTTCTTCATCTTCTTGCTGAAAGTCACCGTTCTCTGCCGCCTCCATGAGAGCCTGCCGAGCAAGGTAAATGTCATTGCGCGATTATCCTTATTGCCATGCTGCTCTGCGTATTGTACTCACACCACTTCTAGTACTACTATTGGAAACATGCTGTTTCAATTGTTAGTCCGCTACTACTGTTACTACTGCTGTGGCCATTACTCTTTCTGTTGTTGCTGCAGCTGTTGCTGCTGTAGTTGTTGTTGTTGTTGCTGTTGCTGTCGCCGTCGCTGTCGTTGAGGTTGTTGTTGTTGTGGTGGTGGTGGTGGTGGTTCTTGTTGTAATTGTTGTTCTAGTTATTGTTGTGGTTGTTGCTGTTGTTGTTGCTGTTGCTGTTGCTGCTGGTGCTGCCGTCGTCGTCGTCGTCGTCGTCGTCGTTGCTGTTGTTGCTGCTGCTGTTGTCGTGTTCTTGTGACTGTTCTCGAGATTGTTCTTGTTAGTGTTATTCTTGTTGGTGTTGGTGTTGGTGTTGGTGTTGGTGTTGGTGTTGGTGGTGTTGGTGTTGTTGGTGTTGTTGGTGTTGTTGGTGTTGTTGGTGTTGTTGGTATTGTTGGTATTGTTGGTATTGTTGGTG